TGAAGAATAAGAAGATATGCCAAAGTCAAAAGGTGGTTTTTAAAAATAGATGAGCACCAGGCTAAATGGATCCATCCATACTCAAAGCATTTCCACATCGCCATGCATTCCACACCTATAAAAACTGACCTGAGATGAGACTGCTGATCCATGATGATTATCTAGGATGGACAAATTCAGAAGCAACTTTTATGTCCATAACTCTGCTAACAGCAAAAGAAACTCCTTTAAAGCACTTTAAAGTTATGTAATATTGTTGCATGGCAGGGGGTTGCAAAAACTCAACTATCATGCCGGGAAATTTCAGAATGGAACAGAAACAGAATAAGAGAGTTGGGGAGGGACCTTGGAGGTCCAGCCCCTTGTACAAGCAGGAGACTCTCTACCATTCCAGATTAGTGGCTGTCCAGTCTCTTCTTAAAAGTCTCCAGTAATGGAGCACCCACAATTTCTGGAGGCAAGTCGTTCTACGGATTAATTGTTCTGTCAGAAAAAAAATTCTCCTTAGTTCTAGGTTGCTTCTGTCCTTGGCAGGTTCCCATTCATTGCTTCCTCTTCTGCTTTCACGGGCTTTGGAGAAGAGGTTGACTCCCTCTTCTTCTTCTTCAGTTTTTCCCCGAACGCCATCACTCTGCTAAACAAATAATTCCCTCAACACTGTCCAACTAGTTACTAAGTCTGCACTACTATTAATCTTCTCATCATTCCCATCACTCATCTCCTTCCACTTATGACTGTATGACTGTAATTTTGTTACTTGTATCCTTAGGATTTATATTGATATTGTTTCCTGATTGCTTATTTGTACCCTATGACTATCATTAAGTGTGGTACCTTATGATTCTTGAAGAACGTATTTTTTCTTTTATGTACACTGAGAGCGTAGGCACCAAGACAAATTCCTGGTGTGTCCAATCACACTTGGCCAATAAAAAAATTCTATTCTATTCTATTCTATTCTATTCTAGTCCTTATTTCTATTCCTATTCTATTCTATCTATTCTATTCTAGTCCTTATTTCTATTCTATTCTATTCTATTCTATTCTATTCCTATTCTATTCTATTCTATTCTATTCTATTCTATTCTATTCTATTCTATTCTATTCTATTCTATTCTAATATGGTGCCTGTTGTGTGTGAAGTACTAATACTTCACGTGATCTTGAAGGTTCCTTCTCCCTCCAAACGAATGCCGACCCTTTTCCTAGATCAGGTCATTTCTGGAAGTTGATACCAAGTAGAGATTTGATATGGCCTGCATGGAAAGCAAAAGACCTCTCAAATCAGCACGTTTTGCAGATCCCTGTAATCCAGCGTTTCTCGACTCCAGCGACTTTGTGTGTGGACTGTGGTGTGTGGCTGCAGAATTCTGGGAGTTGAAGTCCACACCTCTTAAAAGTTTCTGAGGTGGAGGAAGACTTCTATAGGTCACAGTTGTCTATGTGACTGGCTCTTTGGAATCCTGGGCAGAGATTTGTCTTAAATAACCAAACAAAACTGTTTTTTACTTTTTTTTAAAAAAGTTTTTGGTAATAAGGATCGAAGTGGAACCTTCTAGGTACAAGAAATGGGCCCCATGAATTGTTCTTCTGTATATAAATAAAATGGCTCATATATTAGGAATGGTTGATCCGATAAAATCTCAGCGCAGCTGGATGTAATCCATCCATCCATCCATCCATCCATCCACCATATCTATCTATCTATCTATCTATCTATCTATCTATCTATCTATCTATCTATCATCTATCTATCTATCTATCTATCTATCTATCTATCTATCCTCTCTCTTGCCCTTTCTATCTCTTTATCTCTCTCTCTCCCATCCATATCTATCTATCTCTCTAATCTACCTACCTACCTACCTATCCTCTCTCTTGCCCTTTCCATCTCTTTATCTATCTCTCTCCCCCATCCATATCTATCATCCATCCATCTATCTATCTATCTATCTGCCTGCCTGCCTGCCTACCTACCTGCTCTCTCTCCCTTTCCATCTCTTTATCTATCTCTCTTGCCCATCCCTATCTATCTATCTATCTATCTATCTATCTATCTATCTATCTATCTACTCAACTTCTGCAATTAAGTAAATTATTAAATAGATTGCATGCTGGTTTTATCTGCATGAAGACAAAGCTCTTTGCCCACAATTACTTTTAAAAGATTTGAACAATTTTATTAAACAATGGTCAATGGTTTTTTTAATAGGAGCAAACGTCTCACGTTCAATAGATACCTGCTATTCATACCGTATAAGCATAATTACTGTGAAGTAACCTAATTTGATGTAGTTGGATTTTCGGCTTTATCCTTAATCAATATAACTTTATTGTTTTGAACGCTACGTTGTAGTATATAACCTCAATAGAACACGAATTGTTATTTGTAACTCATTCTATCCTTACTATGATAGACTAAATACGGTTGACAAAAAATCCTTTTAAAATATTTATTACAAGTAATAAAACACAGTTTGAATGCTCTGAAACACAACGCGAACAAGGAAAAGCCTAGGGATTGGCAAACTAACACATGCAACAGGTGAATAGCACATGCCCTGATTTCATAGCTACCCGTCTCAAAATAACTGCAAATTATGCACCTTTTTAAAGACTCCCAGCTGATTCGTCATAAAATAAACCCCCAAAACGTTTTTGTTAATTTCTCAGATCCTGACAAGTTTGGGAAATCGGAAATGTATCATTTTGCTATTACGATCCAACAGAATATCCTTCTGCACAACCTCTACCCATATGTCTCTGTCTGTCTGTCTGTCTGTCTGTCTGTCTGTCTGTCTTTGGTTATTCGGGTTTTCTCCCGCGTCCAATTTTACGCGGGAGAAAACCCGAATAACCAAAGACATACATACAAACACCCGCGAAAACCTCAGAAAATATATATATATATATATAATAAAGACTCAACCATCCAGGCCCAAAGTATCTAAAAAGGTGAAATCATGGCAACTCGTAAACTTTGATCCATTTAAAGGTTAAAAATTTAATCTTTTAAAACCCCTATCCTCCTTTCTTCCACTAATGGGTCAAAAACGACTAGGCTCCTAAAAACGTATATAACATCTTGGCAAATTTTCAAGCTTTGAAGACCAAGTCTCTTGCTTAATTAGAAAAGTTTTTATCCTCGTCCTCCCCCAAATTCATAAGCCAAGCTTTAGCCTCAAAAAACCGCAATTAAAATAATTTCTCGGAGGTTAAATCTTTTCCATGCACCTAGAAAAAAGATGAACACGAATACCTTTAAGGTCTCGACAGACAAACCCCACCAATCGTTTGATAGGAGCAGAGCTCAATTTCTAATTCAGAGTGTAAAGAATGCATAGAGGAGAACTGTTAACGTTTCAACACGCACAGAGGGCAGTTCCTCCTCATCTTTTCGGTCGAGGATACCTCATCTTCTCTTTGAGGTGTACTAACTCTATAACCAGAATATCTGGTCAGGAAAACAAATGAGGACAGCCGGTTCCCTCTTGGGAAAAAGCTCTTTTCCTCTTGCAAAAAAATAAATAAATAAAAACAAATGCACGTTTGTAAACATTTGGAAGGAGTATAATAATCGGCGCTTTTTCCTAGGCTCCCCTAGGAATCTGTGGCTTTAAAATAAAAAATTTCAGAGATGCACTGCCCTCATCTTCACCTCTGCACCGGGTTTTCATGGATGGGAGAAGATGTTTACCTGCACATGGGAAGAGCATGGATGAGAAAGGGCAGGAGATGGGAGGGAAAATCCATGCCCCCCCCTCACTCGGCTGCAGGGGAGGTCTTCCTATATGAGAGAAAAGCCTGGTTGGAGGAAAAGTCGGGAGCCCCCGTGGGTGACTTTATCCGGGGAGAACCGGCTCCTTCCTCTTCCTCCTCTCCAAGCGTGGAAGACGCCACTGCTCTTACTCAGCTTTTTACAGGAGGGATGCCCTGCTCTTCAGCGCAAGAGGTCTTTCCCCCCCCACTTCCCCTTCCTGAGCCCCCCTCCCCTTGAATTAGGAAATGCCTGGCCTTCCCCACTCCCATGGCCCAGGGACAACTGGGTGGGCGACAGGGAGGGAAGGAGGGCGGGTGGGATGCTTTGCTGGGGCTGAAAGGACCCCCTTTGCTCCTCTTTCTCCTTCTTTGCTTCCTTCTACTCTCCTATTCCTTCCTTCCTTCTCCTATTCCTTCCTTTCCATTCCTTCTTTCCTTCCTTCCTTTCTATTCCTTCCCTCTTCTATTCCTTCCTTCCTTCTTTCCTTCCTTCCTCCTATTCCTTCCTTCCTCTCTATTCCTTCCTTCCTTCCTTCCTTTCTCCTATTCCTTCCTTCTTTCCATTCCTTCTTTCCTTCTTCTCCTATTCCTTCCTTCTTTCCTTCCTTCCTTTCTCCTATTCCTTCCCTCCTCTCCTATTCCTTCCTTCCTTCCTTTCTCTCTATTCCTTCCTTCCTCTCTATTCCTTCCTTCTTTCCTTCCTTCCTGCTATTCCTTCCTTCCTCTCTCCTATTCCTTCCTTCCTTCCATTCCTTCTTTCCTTCCTCTCCTATTCCTTCCTTCTTTCCTTCCTTCCTTTCTCCTATTCCTTCCCTCCTTCCTCCCTCTCTCTATTCCTTTCTTTCTTCCTTCTTTCCTTCCTTCCATTCCTTTTCTTCCTCTCCTCTTCCTTCCTTCCTTCCTCTCCTATTTCTTCCTTCCTTCTCTCCCCCTCCTCCTTCACCTTCCTATTCCCTTTCCTTTCTCCCTCCCTCCCTCTCTCCCTGTCTCTCATTCCCATTTCCTTCCTTCCTTCCTTCCTTTCCCCTCCCTCCCTCCCTCCTTCCCCCCAATATCCCTTGCAGGGTTCCCGGCGGCTGCCCTCGGGTTCGGGGACCCCAGCGCCTCCCATTGCAGCAGGTGAGCACGTGCCCCTTTGCGGAGGCCGGGCTGGGGGAGAAGCAAGCACGAGCCAGGGACACCCCCCCTCCACCTCCACCCCCACCCCCGGCCCGGGGACTCGGAGGCCGATGGAGAGGTACCTGCTGCTGCTGCTGCAACCGAGGTTCCTCCTCCTCCTCTTCCTCCTCTTCTCCTCCTCCTCCTCCTCGCCGGGCTCCGCTCTGCTGCAAGAGGCAAGCGGGCAGGCGAGGGAAGCGAGCGGGCGCGCGCATGCGCGTTCTCTCTCTCTCTTTCCCGAGCCTCCTCCGAGGGCGCGCGCCCGGGCCCCCTCCCCTCCGGGGGCGGGGCCGCTCCTTCCCTCTCTCCCTTCCTTTCGCCTCCTCCTCTTTCCCGTCATGAGCCTCGCTCTCCTTCCCCCTCCTCCTTCCTCTTCCTCCTCCGGTCGCCTTGGAAACCGACCCGGCGGAGGAGGGGGCGCGCGCCCGCGCGCGCGGCCGACCCTCGGGCGCGAGATCGCCGGGGGCCCCCCCCTCTCTCTTTCGTCACGTGACGCGCTCGCGCTCGAGCGCCGGCCAATCGAGGCGGACGGATGAGTACGCCGGGGAGGGGGGGTAGGGAGTGGGTGGGGGGGAAGAGGGAGTTTGTAGTAATAGTACGGGAGGGGAGGAGGGAAAAAGGGGGTGGAGTCCGGAAAAAGGGGAGGGCGGTTGCTGAGGGGAGGGGCTTCCTGAGTGTGTGGGGGGAGGGGAGAAAGGAGTGAGGCGGGGAGGTTGTGAGGGAAGGGATATATATAAATATAAATATATATAAATATAAATATATATATAAAACTTACATATATATATATATATTAGGATTCTATATGATTGTAATCCTGTCATTAATATGTGTTAATAAAATATTTATTAAAATTATTTGTATTTAATGTTAATATTTATCAATATTAATTATTGATATATTATCAATGTTAGCTATATTAATAAAAGTCCCATATTCTTTTACTCTGTAATATAAAACGGAGAAAACATTTTATACACAATATATAAAATACATTGATATCTCTAATCTTGCAGGTGTGACACCAATATTAACAATACATAAAACACCTATACTATCTAACCTCTCTATAAAATGTGTAACATTAAGTAGTGTTATCTAATGTTATTATGTGGCCTAGATAATGTAAATGATCTATAAAATATAGGCGGAATTTTGTATATTACATATTTTATTTATATCAAATTTTTAAAACCGCCCATGTCCCTCTGAGACGGAATCCTCTGCACAGAAACCAATGACCTTTTTGTGGTTGACAATAAATACCATTAAAAAAAAGTAATAATAGCGGGAAGAAGGAATTCCTTCACTTTCACATTAGGAGGGAGGAATATTAGGTTTGCAGCCTTGAGTTATTTATAAAAATAAAAAAGGCACAAGATATAAATAAAAGAAAAGAAGGGAGGAAGGAAGAAAAAGAAAGAGAAAAAGAAGAAAGAAAGAAAGGAAGAAAGAAAGAAAGAAAGAAAGAAAAAGGAAGGAAAGAAAGAAAAAGGAAGGAAGGAAGGAAGGAAGGAAGGAAGGCTATCTAATAAAACCCTTGTATGGGATCCATAGAATCACCAAGAATTGGGCAAGATAGAATGGATAGCATCATTATCGTCAAGGAAACCCAGTAAAATGCAAAATAAAAGCCCCACAGAAGCCCAGCAGTCATGCTAGTCTAAACTGATACACGAATTAAATTACGATAACAATGCGATTAAAATAGGGTGACAAAAAAAAACTTGGGAAAATGAAAAAAGTAAAAAAAAAACAAAAACCAGAAATAGGATTAATTGTAATCCATAGATTTCATTATTAGGACAACTATAATCGCCTCTCAAGATAAAAGGCCTAAATGGGTTCCTTCAATGGGTTGCTACTCTTCATAGCCATGACAATATTTCAGATTATATTCTGAGATAAGAGGTATAAATAGTTCTACAGTGCACCAGGTATTATGTCTAGTTTTATTACGGAATTTCAGGATGGATGGTAGCCAGGCAACAAACCTTGTTTGTTGAGGATTCAGGTCTTCTTGTTGTGAAATTTTATGTTTTCCATAAATGCAAATGCCTATCTCCAACAGTCGTTCGCCCCAATTAATTCTTTACCTGAGGCATGAAAATGAATAAAATGCTATAAAAAGAATAGCGGGTTAGTCATGTTTTAGATATGTGGATGGTGCAATGTTTAAGCAAACATGGAAAATCCTGGCTAAATACACTTTACGGTGAAAAGAACAAAGGGGTGGTGTAGTAAAAAGTGGTTTTTTTAAAAAAAGAAAAATTAATTGGAATTTGCTATGCAAACGAGAATTATTAAAATTGCTACATTCATGTCAGCATTCAAGATTTGTATGAGTATTGCAACTATAGTATCAAGTAAAACAATAGACGTGTTTGTTGTGATTCATTTTTTTTACTTCGCTACATATAGCAAAACTGATTTATTTATGAATAATGAAACTTGTATTGGAATATTAGAAACAATGTTGAACGGTAGGCCATAAAAAGATGGCCAATGCAATATATTCTTAGCTTTTTAGAGAGGAAACTACAGACGCATGTCGCTCTGGGAAAGAATTTGTGAAATGAGAAACCACAACTGAGACTGTCATTTCTTGTGATCTGTAACAGCATCACAAGGAACTTAAATTGCAAGGCAAATTGATGCAAAAAAGAAGTCTTTTTATACTGAGTGTAAGAATTGAGTTTATAGCCCTTGTATAATTTATAAGAATATCCCTGGGGAATCTTCTAAGCCAAGATATGCATTTATTTATGCCTTTATTAATTTCTAATATGATGCATTCATTTTGGCCAGCCTGTCATACGCAATACTCTCTTACATTCAAGTTTAAAATTTCTTTTTTTAAAAAAAAAAAAACCTGAATAAAATAAGAATGGGTGAAAATGCTCTTTTGAATTTAAAGCCGCAGTGCTAATTCAGCAGGCTTACTTTGAAATAAACAAGACTGAAAAAGTTTCAAAAGTTTCTTGAGGGAGAAACAGACCTTTAACAGCATTCTCTCTTGAACGGTAATGGCTTTTCCCAAGTTTAAATGATTATGTTGGTCTGTTGTGTGGATGTTTCGGTGGTTTTGGGGTGGGGAATTTGCGGTGGGTGGGAGTGTGTTTGGGGATTGTTATGTGTGTTGGACCTGGTCTTTGGGGGTTAAGTGAATTTCGTTGTATGGGTATACTGTGTATACACGTACAATGCCAATAAAGTTATTATTATTATTTATGTTACATCTAATGACATGTATACAAACTACTCTATGCCATTAAAGGCTTCCTGGTTATTGTTCCTATGATTTCATATATCTGTGGACAGATTCAGAAATAGTGCGACAGCTGTTCTCAACTGCATTCACGCATCTTCAGTGCATCTGGTTTTCTGGAACATATTTAGTTTGTTATCTGCGCATTGACAAAACGTCCATTTGTCGGTTATAAAAGGCCACACTGCTGGATCTGCACATATACATGTAGTCCTCAACTTACAACAGTTCGTTTAGTGACTGTTCAAACTTACATAGGCACTGAAAAAAGTGACGAAGGACCATTTTTCACACTTACGACTGTTGCGGCATCCCCATGGTGGTTTACATTGGAATGCTTGACAACTGGTTCACATTCATGACGGTTGCAGTGTCTCAGGGTCCTGTGATCCCATTTTGTGACCTTCTGACAAGCAAAGAATAGAATAGAATAGAATAGAATAGAATAGAATAGAATAGGGTAGAATAGAGTAGAGTAGAGTACAGTAGAGTAGAGTAGAGTAGAATAGAAAGAGTAGAGTAGAGTAGAGTAGAATAGAATAGAATAAGGAATAGAATAGAGTAGAGTAGAGTAGAGTAGAGTAGAGTAGAATAGAATAGAATAGAATAGAATAGAATAGAACTTTTTATTGGCCAAGTGTGATTGGACACACAAGGAATTTGTCTTGGTGCATATTCTCTCAGTGTACATAAAAGAAAAGATACATTCGTCAAGAATCATAAGGTACAACATTTAATGATAGTCATAGGGTACAAATCAGTGGTGGGTTCCAACCGGCCTTACTACTGGTTCTCTTCGTGCGCGCGCTTCTCCCGCGATCGCCAACACAAAATTTTGCGCTCAGTTGTGGTCGTAAGTCGAGGACTACCTGTATTATGCCAATACATTTATGACATCCTAGGTTCATTGGGAAGAAGTTGATGCGTATGAAGGCCAATGCCAGCTGAAGAACTGGCAGCTGCGATTTCATGTTGTGTATATTATAATAATTCTGCTCCTTGTATTACTTGTGTTATTGCTAACGCAATGAATATTTCATATCCAAAATTAGAGTTATGTTCTTTCTACTCGATATTATTTTGATTATGCTGAAGCACAACTAACTGTGCAGTTTAATGCTTCATGGCAGACAAAACTCCATCTGTATGTATTTCTGTCTCACTTAGCTTGCCAGCAGTGATCAAATCTGCATATTGAATTATGACTTTACAGGCTTATTTGAAAATATGTCTTGCACTCTACTAGCACAGGCTGTAACAGCATACTGTACTTTATGTATACTAGTTTGAAGTCAAATCCTTACCAGGTTCAGTGGAACTAAATCCTTATTCAAAAAAAAGAGACATAATTTGGAACCCAAAATACTATTCCTCAAGTCACATTCACACTTATTGAAGCTGTTTATATATATTGGCTTAAACGTTGGAAAGCAGATGAATCCCTTTTAAAATAAATAGTAAAAGTCACCCCATCTTCAAAAAAGGGACTATTTTAGGAAGCACTATTTTAAAGCAGGGATGAGTCACCTTTTTTGAAGCAAAACCTTAAAGTAGGCAGGTAAATTAGAGAAGAAAGTGACGAGAGGGATATAGTACCTTGAAATTCAGAAGAAATGTATTCCTCGTTTTCATTTGTTGGGCAACAATTAGCAGCAAAGATTTGTTGCTATGTTATTCTTGGCTGTTTCTTGACCTAGGTGCAATTTTGGTCTGCTTTTAAGTTCTGAACTATTTAACAGTGACCAAAGTGAATTTTTTTTTAAAAAAAATGTTTAAGTACATTACAAAAAATAAATTTCTGATAGATCGCTTCTGCCCTGGACACTGAGATGTAAAATAGCAATTGAAGCACTTTGTGCCAAAATTTGCCAGAAATCTGGGTTGAATTCCAATTTATATATGGCAATGTTTTGCCTTTTTAAAGTCCTAATAAATTTCCTTCCTTCCTTTTAGGCAGGGAGATCACAGGCATCAACTTTGCACTGAGAATAATTTCTGTCATCCCAACAAAAAGATGAATAATTGTAGGTAAGTGGTCGTCTCACATCTGCCTTCTATCTATTAAACATCTATTTGGCCCACTGTGGGCCAGTTGCTAAGCCCCAAAACCAAAAAAGACCCCAACTGCAAAATCAGTGAAGTTACCAGACCCCAAAACTGGGATGGACAACCCAGATTCAAAATTACAACCTCTCTGCCTCAGTGGTGAAATCCAATTTTTTTTTTTACTACTGGTTCTGTGGGCATGGCTTGGTGGGCGTGGCAGGAGAGGGATACTGCAAAATCTCCATTCCCACCCCACTCCAGGGGAAGGATACTGCAAAATCTCCATTCCCACCCCACTCTGGGGCCAGCCAGAGGTGGTATATGCCGGTTCCCTGAACTACTTAAAATTCCTGCTACCAGTTCTCCAGAACCTGTCAGAACTTGTGGATTTCACCCCTGCTCTGCCCCCCTATTGTGTGGCCACATTTTGAATGCTCGGCCCACATTAACAGTTGTTTGCAGACCCCGCAATCCAGTGGGGGAATTCAAATTTTTTTACTACCAGTTCTGTGGACGTGGCTTGGTGGATGTGGCAGGGGAAAGATACTGCAAAATCCCCATTCCCTCCCCACTCCTGGGGGAAAGATATTGCAAAATCCCCATTCCCTCCCCACTCCAGCGGGAAGGATATTGCAAAATCTCCATTCCCACCCCACTCTGGGACCAGCCAGAGGTGGTATTTGCCGGTTCTCCGAACTACTCAAAATTTCCGCTACCGGTTCTCCCGAACCTGTCAGAACCTGCTGAATAGCACCCCTGCCGCAATCGCGAGACCATGATTGACAGTGTTTTTGTCATAAATCAGCATTTATGTGTCGAATTTCCAGTAAAAACTGCCCCATAGCAAACAACAGGTTTGCTTAAAGACCGGTGCTCCCTCTTTATGAATGCTGTAAAAAAGGTCATAAAATGGCGTCTGATCACATGGTGATGCTTTACGACTGTCCTGATTTATGGCCAAAATCGCGGGCTCCATTGTGGATTGTACAGTCCTCAACTTACAACAGTTCATTTAGTGACCGTTTGAAGTTACAACGGCACTGAAAAAAGTGACTTAGGACCATTTTTTCACACTTACGACCACTGCAGCGGTCACGGGATCAAAATTCAAAAAGAAATATCTTTTTTAAGTTTAATAAATGTACCCAACTTGTCAGCTTGGCAACTGACGTGTACTTATGAGGGTTGCAGTGTCCCAGGGCCACGAGATCCCATTTTGCGACCTTCTGACGAGCAAAGTCAACGGGGAAGCCAGATTCACTGAACCACCGTGTCGCTAATTTAACAACAAGAAATGTCGTAAAACAAGGCAAAACTCACTGAAGAAATGTTTCACTTAGCAACATAAATTTTGGGTTCGGTTGTGGGTTGTAAGTTAAGGACTACCTCTTCTGTGGGAATATCTTAAAGTATGGCAGTCGGTCGGTTTCCTGCTTTGGTTGCAAGCTGCACAGCTTGGAAGGGAAATTCTTGGCTTCCCACAGTCTCTCCTCCTGTTTCCAGATCATTACTATTGTGCCGAGTCAGGAATATTGCGCATTTGCTGCGCAAGCATACTTTCAGTGGCACGTTGCAGCGGGAATCACATTATTCTGTGCTCCAACAGATTACGTGCTAAAGCACCATAAAAAATAACCCCCAGCCCTCCTTTGCGATAGGAAATGGAGCTATTTGCTTTGACGCCACTTCAGCGCATAAAGAGTTCTCCAGAAATATCTTTTTTAAGTTTAATAAATGTACCCAACTTCAGGGAAATGCTGCAACTTTTTGTTCAGGCAGACTTTGTCCATTGATTCATTTAAGATCAATGTGGAATTCAGGAGCGCATAATTTGTTAAATTATTTGATCCCACCGGATAAAAAGTGTCCACGAAAGAGACCCAAAATAAGACAGATCGGCAACATCAGCAAGTATGGCAGGCCCAATTGGCCAAAGAAAGCTCAGGACTGTATGGGGTGAAAACGTGCGGAAGAAGCCTTCATCCTGCAGTGGATAGACAGGAGGAGGAGGAGGAGGAGGAGGAGGAGGAGGAGGAGGAGGAGGAGGAAGAGGAGGAGGAGGAGGAGGAGGAGAAAAAGAAGAAAAGGAGGAGGAAGAGAGGAAGGAGGAGGAGAAGAAGAAAAGAAGAAGAGGAGGAGGAGGAGGAGAAGAGGAAGGAGGAGGAGGAGGAGGAGGAGAAGAGGAAGGAGGAGAAGAAAAGAAGAAGAAGAGGAGGAGGAGGAGGAGAGGAAGGATGAGGAGGAGGAGGAGGAGGAGAAGAAGAAGAAGTAGAGCACAAAAGCACTAAAGAGGAGGAAGAGGAGGAGGAAGGAGGAGAAAAGAAGAAGAAGAGGAGGAGGAGGAGGAGAGGAAGAAGAAGAAGAAGAAGAAGAAGAAGAAGAAGTAGTAGTAGTAGTAGTAGTAGTAGTAGTAGTAGTAGTAGTAATTGATTAGGGTTAGCTACCAGAGAGTGCAGCTGCTCAGTCCTTGGAGCACCCCACAAGCCATCGGTATAAAGTTCGCATCCAGTTATCCGTTACAGGATGCAAATGTGTAGACACATGATCTCATCTTTAGCTATTTCACCTTCATTTAATGGAAGCGAGCCACAGCTTCCCTTTTGTTCAAGGCCGGGCTGACTGCAGATGTGCACCTCTGTCATTTTCAGATTCTAATCCCAGAGATGCTAGAATTAAAATCCGCTATCCTTCTGCGGGATGTATATCATAAATAGAATATGGTTCATTAATTGGGAAAGTATATCTTACTCCCTTGCTTGAAATTCAACAGTTATGCAATATCTTAAAGACGAGGAGAAAAAAATTAATATAATACGGCACAAAAGCACTAAAGAACTGCAATTCGTTTTTGATCGATCGCTTCTAGGACTTAAATAATAAGATTTAAAAGTGTTTAAAAGTTCTTCGTTGCTTTGTTCTAAATTAAACGTTTCGGGGGGGAAATGTTTCCAGAATGCAAACTTGGTAGTTTGAACATGCCTGGTGGGCTAATCAATCACTTTTTTTTTTTCCTTGTTAACTGAAATAATTTTATTCTCTTTAGTATATTGCTTTCTCAGACACACAGAAAATTCTCCCACACAGACCATTAATTTCGGTGTTGATCTACAGCATACTTGTAAATCGATTATTGTACAACGCATTTGCATTTGCTTAGATCATCTGATTTTTCCAAACTGCATTTAGCATGTTTCAAATTATTTGCTGAGTCTCGCCCTTCCAGCGTTAGTCTTTTAAACAGGAGTAGCAGCTCCCTTTGTAAATTAGAATTATGGTTGTAGGCTGCATCACATTAAGTTACTATCTTCATGCCTCATACTAGAAACCAGGGTTTAGTGTTTCTCAAAATCTTTCTTTTTTTTTTTTTATTTTAATATCCAGTTTTCAAGCCCATGGAAAGCAGTGATGGGATTGATAATTTGGGGCCATCTGCAGCCGCCACAAGCCAACAGAAGGCCTTGGAGGTCACCAGCTGGGTTGTCCTCCTGCCAGCTTCTCCATCTCCTCCCTTAGGCATGATTTCAATAGTGGAAAGAGCATTTGAGATGATCCCTGTCCACAAATAAAACTCTATTTACGCTGTTATGACTGTTCAGGTAGACTTTTGTCATTTTGTGTTATTAAAAACAACAATCCAGTTCTGTCATGAAAGGCAGGGTTTGATTCTACGCACGTTTGCTTAGATCTCAGCTGCCCGTAGTTCCAGAAAACCTCCGAGTGAGTACAGTTAAGCTTATAGTAGTGGATATTACATATACACTTCAACTTCAAGAGGCAGGAACCTAGATAACTAGATATGAAACCATCCGGTTTCTACTTTTCTCTTGTTATCTTCAAGTTTCTTAACCATTGTCCTTTCTGCTTTGAGAAGCAATAACAATCCGTTGACAATGGATGACGTGTATTAGAAACTATCTACAAGAGGCTTTCTCGCTCTAGTAAAACCTGCCTGTAATCAGTTAATATCATCTTGCTTGAAGAGGCCTCAAGGATGAGTTTCCCCCCCACCCCACCCCATGGTAACCAGAGTGAGCATCTCAAGAAAACAAAAACTACACCGAAAACACGAACCTGCATGAATTAAAACCTGTAATTCACAGCACTTCTAAAACCAGCCATGTTACGCAGTGGATCCCCGATGGAAGAGGAAGCTGGATAAATCGTACAGAAGTCCAGAAATAAGCAGGAATTAGCAAAATAAGCGCAATAGTTCTCCTATGACTGTGTTTCTCAAATTGAAGATGGATGGAAGATGGGAAGGCTTCAACTCCCAGAACTCCCCATGCTAGCTGGGGAATTCTGGGCGTTGAGGTCCACCTATCTTCGACTTGCCAAAATAGAGACATTTTGCTCTATGACAAAGGTATCAAAGCCTCCAAATCGGCACCCCTTTCTTATCCATGCCAGGGTTGACCAAAATATATCCACCCATATCTGACTAAAGAATAAACAATCCGGGACAACTGAAGGAAACAAGCGTCAGTCTTCAAGGAGAAACGTAGGAATGGTGTCCCTCACTCAGGTTCGGCGTTGAACTTTTTTTATTATTATTATTATTTTGATTTATATGCCGCCTTCTCCGGAGACTCAGGGCGGCTTACAATGCGCTAAGCAATAGCCTTCATCCTTTTGTATGAAGTCAGCTTATTGCCCCCACAACTGGGTCCTCAATTTACCTACCTTAGAAAGGATGGAAGGCTGAGTCAACCTTGAGCCTGGCGAGATTCGAACCTGCAGTAATTACAGGCAGCTGGTCTTAATAACAGGGTGCTTTAGACCACTGTACTACCAAGGCTCTTATTGGGCAGGGAAGATCTGGTTGCAAATATTTCATATTTTTAATCTATTATGTTTATCAATCTCCTGAGTCAAGTCTTGGGGACTATATCTCTGTAGGCTTTTTTTGTGGGCAACAGTAGGACGTTGTTTTCTCTGTCTTCCAAGATTTTTTTTAAAAATCTATTTATTTCAATCAGAACAGA